ATGCTGCATTTTGTACTATCCTGGAGGCGACTTCCTGAAAAACGTTTTGAAGTCTGTATTCTCTTCCCAGTGCAAGGATGCCCTCCTTGGTGCAGCCAGCAATGAATATGCTTCTTTGACAGTTTTCAAGGAATATGTGATTGATGTACGAAACTTGATTTATCCGAGCACGGAAGTGATCCGCACTCTGAAAAGCTATGAGGAGCTCTTCATGGGCGTTATTGCGTGGTGTAAAAACAATGTATACACGATGAAGTCGCCACTACACTCTCTGACAAAATACCTTGCGATGGTAGACCAGCCGTGCCTGAGCACTTGCGCAGAACATAAGGAAGAAATAGGCAAGATGCTGGTATCCACCTACATAAGACTGAGGCTACGCATTCAATTTCGTCAGAAACCATCCACAAATACCGGAGGTTACGGAAGCAAAACTTGTGCTGGTGTTTATCTACCCCGCAGCAAGGCCTTTTTGTATCCCATATGCACATACGCATGAGAAAAAAACTCGACGAAATTAAGCACTCAGTTCATAATCATCTTGTCCATAATATATTTTGCGTAACGGTATTAAATTATTGTACTCCATAAAGTGTCGTTGTTTTGATTACCTAGTGCATGACGCAGTTTTCCACCATGTAATCGTGTAGGGGGCGCGAAATAGTGACAATGGTAGTAAGGATCCGGGTATTCGTACTTATATACACAGCAGCTATGTACTTTATCATATTTCTCTTACTTTCCGCTATGTCCATATGAGCACGACGACAGAAAGCTCGCGGCGACGGTGCAACTACGAGGACAAACAGTTGCCCGCCGTGGTCAACTCTTATTATAACAGAAAGAATGTTAATCTCTATGCCTTCGCTGATCCTCTCTAACTAGCGGACGCGTTACTGAATTTTCACTCTCGCTTATCATCTACGCTGGCAAAGGAATGAATATCGAAGCTAAAGTAGAATGCAAGCGCCTACTGCAAGCAGGGGCCACTGCTATCGAGGCGCTTCCCCACGACTGGCGGATGCAAAATAATGGCGGGCTGCTAGCAGATGGCGTGTTTGAACTCGCCCTAGGAGACCGCTCGCATCAAGGTGCTCCAAGTTGGGTGAATGGATGGCTTAATACGGCTGTACCCTTTGAATTGGGTGGTGGCTAGCGCCGCCAAGCCGTAATACTTAGTAAATCAAAAACCAGATTTATCTTTTTTTCCTTTAAATAGTGAGGTTAAGGACTGGTACTTCACAGTGAAGGATCTAATTTTCACTCGTGCTTTGAATTTAGCCATCAATCAGATTGTGATGTTTAGGACGGTTCGAGCACTTCCACTACTGTGCAGCGACGCAGGAAACAGACAGGGAGACGAGTTCAAACGTTTATATACAAAAGGACGGCTATGAAAAGTCAGTGATGTGGACGCCGTCGGGACGACCACCACGGCACACTAGGAAGAAGAGTCCCGTAGACTCACGACTCTCGAGCAGCGGTGGCGTCGTCTAGGAGATGCCTGGACCAGCGCGACCTCGGACCTTGTTTTCGAGCTCTTGATCACCACTCGGGCGTAGCGGTTCCACGTGCGGGTTCTGGTCAGCAAAGCACCGTCTGTGCCGTGCTGAAATGCTGCTCACTACAGCTGTGGTGCGGCAGCTCAGTCACCGGCGTTCCTCGCCTTGGCCAGGGCACCGCCAGGTACCCTCGGGTGCACACTGCAGCTCATGAGCTCACGGCCCACGTCCTGAGTCTTGCACGTCGCTCGGTACGGCTCGGCACCACTCGGCGATTCTCTATTCAGCCAGCAACTCCCCTGGCACCTGGATCCTCGGCCACCCTGGACCTCGCCCGGCTCCGTGGTCCTCCGTGCACACGCCCGCGTCTCGCCCGGCACAACGTCTCGCTCGTCCGAGCTTGGAATTGCACGCCTTGGCCCGAACACTGCGAGGCGCCTCGGGCCACCCGTGCTACCGCGCTCTTCTTCTTTTTTCCTCGGTGCTCGGTGGTCCGCGTCGACGTTTTTCTGATATTTACACGTGACATTTTACCCCCCACTTTGGAAAGTTGTTCCTCTTCAACAACTTTTCTAAGCATGAGGATAGAGAATGTTCAAAGCCTGAAAGGCGGAAAGTGTGCGCATGTTAACAGTTTTTTTTCACACGCATTTACAGGTTGGTTTACATACAGTTCACGGTGTTTACATGGAGCTCACAAAGTGTTCAGAAAGAAATAAAAGCTTACATGTGCGTAACGCTTCAAGTCTACACTCGGCTCATGTAGTCAGCTCCAACATTGTCAATTCTTTTGATATATTCCACGGTGAAGTCGTATTCCATAAGTGTCAGACTCCAACGCAGAATTCGGCTATTTGTGTGCTTGGCCGAGTTGGTGTAGGCCAGCGGCTGGTTATCGCTTTGCAATACAAACTGCTTGCCGAAGAGATAAATGTGGAATTTTCGGACAGCCCACCCAAGCGCAAGCCCTTCTCGCTCTATGGTTGAGTAGCATGACAGCCGCGCGGTCCACCGTGTCTGTCAAAGGTGGTCTTTCCTCGTACTTCTTAAGGAGGTTGATGTGGAACAAACTGGTTCGGGTTCCTAGATCAACGACATAGTCAATCTCGCTCCGTTTCTCTAGTACAGTGAAGGGGCCTTTCCAAGTGAGAATCAGTTTGTTGGTGTCGGAAAGTAGTAGTAGTAGTAATAGCTTATCTCCGACGCACAACTGACGAGACTTCGCTTTGCGATCGTAGTATTTCTTTTGTAACAGCTAGGCTTTCTGCAGCTCTTAGTGCGCAATTTGACACGTCCCATACAAACGATTCTGAAGCTCTATTACGTAGCCGTACGTAGTCTTCGTTTGGGGATCCAAGGTTTTTCGCTTCCATAATTCCTTCAGTATGGGCATTGGGCCTCTAATGTATCGACCATACAGGAGGTCGAATGGCGAAAAGCCGATGCTCGACTTAGGCACCTCTCTGTATGCAAATAATAATGGTGACAAGTATCTGTCCCAGTTCTTTGGACTTTCGTGGCACATGCGCCTTATCATTTGCTTTAATGTGCCATTGAAGCGCTCCACAAAACCATTTGCCATATGGTGGTATGGGGTAGTTGGCAACTGTCGGAAAGACAGTTGCCAACTGCTCACTTCCTGCATTAAGCGTGATGTGAATGACCTTCCGCGGTCGCTATTACAACGCACGAGAACATGTCCACCAATGCTTCTGCTATCGTCTCCTTTCTATGCTTGCTAATGCAACAGCGTCAAGATATCGCGTTGCGCAGTCGACCATTGTTAAAACAAAACGGTTTCCTTTGTCCGATGTTGGTGATAGTGGACCGATTATGTCAATCGCCACACGTTGGAAGGGCACGTCAGTCACCGGCATTTTTCCGAGGGGGACACGTCCGACTAAGTGCTTTGGCACAGTGCGCTCGCAAATGTCACAAGAGCGCACAAATCGTGTCATCTCAGCGTGCACGCCCGGCCAATAAAATTCGTCTCAAATCCTATCAGTTGTTCGTTTAATACCTTGGGGACCTACCATAACTCCCTCGTGCGCCATCCTAAGGACAAACTGGCGGAGGTTTTGCGGAACAACCAGTTGGTCAACTTCCTTCCTCGTTAGCGATCTGTAGTGTCGATGAAGTGTTCCCTTAAACAAAACATATTCTATGTTTGCTGATCGCTTCGCTATGGTCTTCCCAATTGCCGAAAAACAGCTCTCCAAGGTGCGATCTTCTCTCTGCAACTTTTCAAGAACTTGTGGGGTCATATCTAGTTCGTTAGATGCCGCCACAGGTAACTTCATGTCCCTGGTCCTTCTTGTTGTCGCTGCACTCAAAGTCGGTAGGTCCGGTGACACGCTTGGATATGGAAAGGCTCCCCTGCTGGTGCCCACTCCTAATGCAGTCTTGCGACATCCGACAGGTGATGCGACGTGGTAGAACCAGAAAGAAAGATTACCCTGTTGATGTTGCAGAGAACGACGTCATAGATTGGCTTTTCCATCCAGAGTGCCAGTGTCGGTCCTTGAAAGAACGGAGAGTCGATGTATACCTTTGCCTCGGGAAGTTGCCTCGACAAACCGTCGAGAAGGTGTACAGTACGTGTGATACCGGTGAAATTCTTTTCCGGTACCAGATAATGCTTGACCACCACGGTATTGCATCCCGAGTCCCTTAGCACCGTCACAGGCCGTCCCACGAGATATCCGGTTGCCGTTGGCATCTCTTGTCTTAGCAGACCAAGACAAATATCTCTTTTTTTCCGGTGGTGCATTTTCCTTTGCTGATGAAGCGGTACAATACAAGTTCTCCTTGTTTCGAGCAAAAGGTGCATGGTCATAGCCGGCAAAAGCACTTGACGCCTCGTTGTTGCGGCTCTTTACATTTGGGCAATCGTCCGCTTGATGGCCGTGTTTCCTGCACTTCCAGCAAGACGAGGGCTTCGGGCCTTTTGACCATGTTCAACAGTCTGCAGCGCGATGACCTTGCTTATTACATAAAAAGCATTGCACTTTTGCTTTTCCGGCTTCTTTATCACGGCTCTTGCTCGCCACTTCTCCTTTTTCGCTTGGTCTTTCCTGTTTCCCTTTCGCGATATTTGTCAGGCCTTGCGTCCTCCAGATAATGGTCAGCCGTTTCGGCCAGCTGATCGAGCATTCGGCATCCTCGCTCTTTCAAGAAGATTGCGAGTTTCTCATCGAATTTTAGCAAAAACTGTTCGGACACAATGTTATCTCACAATGCGTCATAGGTTTTTCTGTTTTCGCCATCTGCTGCCAATGATCGAAGTATCCGAGCAGCCGTCCAGCGAATTGTCGTCCTGTCTCGGAATTCTCCGGCTTAACTTCGCGAACTTTTTGCTGATATCCCTCTTCGGTGTACCGAAATCTTTGCAACAAGGTTTGCTTCAGCTTTTCGTAGTCTGTAGCATCCTCCGCAGCCATACGTCCTACAATACTCAAGGCTTCACCTGAGGGGCATAAGCCTAATGAGAGCGCCCACCTGTCACCTGGCCATCCCTGACTCATGGCTACCCGCTCGAAGCGCTGAATGTACGCGTCGAGTTCGTCGTGGCCCTCATTGTAGGGAGGAATAAGCTTGTGGGGGCTCCTGAACGCTTCGCTGCTGGCTTCTAGGCTCTCTCCACCGGTTCCAACCGTCCCAGCCGTGCGCTCAGCAAGACGACACTTAGCCTCCAGCAGACTTTGTTCCACCGCCAGACGAGCAATCTCCTGTTCGTGCGCTATTCGCGATGCGTCCCTATCCTCAGCTCGTCTGTCACGCTCTTTTTTCTGCTGCTCTTCAATCCACTCCTTCAGTTCGTTACCCGACAAGCCAAGTTGCCTGTCAATCGGAATATACTTCTCCCAATTCATTTCCGTCCACTGCACAAAAGAGAAGTGCGGCTCTGAAAGTTGGAGCTAGAGCTTTGTCTATCCATCATCCATCCATCCATCCATCCATCCATCCATCCATCCATGCCATGGATGGATGGATGGACGGGCAAGCAGGTGGGCGGGCGGGCGGACGGACAGATGGATGGATGGATGGATCTGTACCCTTTAGATCGGACGGCGGCTAACGTCACCTAGCCGTAATACTTAGTGAACTGAACACTAGAATTATCTTCCTTTTCCTTTAAATAGTGAAGTTGAGGACTGGTACTTTGCAGTGAAGGGTTTAATTTTCTCTCGTGCCTTGACCTTAGCCACCAATCAGATAACCCTCTTCTAGTTAATTCTACCCGCTTAAAGTCCATTTCGCCCTCTCTCTCCCTGAACCATAGTGCTTTGAAAAAACTCTGCGCCATCATCCTGAACTATAGAGTGGAGCCCTTTACAGAACAATATCAAGTGTTCGGCAGTATCCAATCCTCTCCACTTGAACTGCATACCGTGTCTTCCCCTTCATATTTGGCCCGATTTGTCTTGGTTCGCAATACTCCCGTCCTGGCTTCATACAGTAGAGAACTACCCTGAGTATTATCACTCCTTTTCTTGGCAATTTCCTGCTTAAAAGTTTGAAACTTGGATAGATCTCTAGTGCGGACTTCTTAATAATGCCAATTCTCCACATGTCAGTCTCCGTTTTCTTCACATCCTTCTTAACCGATAGTTCTTTTTGGTTTGGCCATCTGCTGTTTTCTAAGTATTTACCAGTCAATTTCCCAGTTCGCTTCGTCCATTTTGTATTGACATTCTTTATGTACAAGTAGCTGAAAACCTTCCTAGCCCAACATTCCTCCCCCATTTCTCTCAAGAGCTTCTTAAATTTTATCTTGCTGCTAGCTTCCCTGCCCTCAAACGATGTCCATCCCATATCACCTTGTACTCCCTGATTTGGTGTATTCCCGTGAGCTCCTCAAGCAAGCCTACCTATTCCACGTTGCTTAATTTCTAATCTTGCTTGAACTTCTGATCTCATGCATGAGACCGCATTGCCGAACGTCAGCCCCGGAACCATCACCTCTTTCCATTTTCCTCTCACAACATCGTACCTATTGTAATTCAACAGTGCCCTATTTTTCATCACTGCTGCATTCCTGTTACCTTTAGTCATCAGGTATGTTTCGTGTTCCCTTTGGTACTCGGTCCCATTGCTTATCCATACGCCCAGATATTTGTATTTATCTGTTATCTCTACCGTGACTTCCTGTATCCTAAGCTCACAACCTTCATTATCATTAAAATTTATGACTGCTGATTTTTCCTTACTGAATATGAAATCTAACCTATCTCCCTCATTACAGCAGATGTCCATCAATCTCTGCAAATCTTCCTCGTTGTCGGCCATTAGCACTATATCATTTGCATACATTAATGCTGGTAGTGCCTGATCAATGAGTTTTCCTTGTTTGATGAAAGATAGGTTGAAGCCAAGTCCACTTCCCTCTAATTTGGCCTCTAATCCTTGTAGGTACGTCATGAACAACAAGGGTGACAGAGGACACCCCTGCCTAAGCCCCCGTTTCACCTCTGTGGGCTTGGATACCTATTTTTTTCCACTTTATAACTACCTTGTTACTTCCTTGTTCGGAACGACTGTGCGCGCCCCATGCGGCTCCTCCTCAGAGGCTTCAATGCACTTCGTAGGCGTCGCTTGCCGCTCATCACGCACTTAAGGTACCTAGAGGGAGCGTAATCACACTTCCCTATTTTGGCCGACGACCTACTTTACTCCTGACCTGTCCAGAAAGCCCCCTCTCCAGCGCCCACGTTCTTGTTTAGATTTTCTGCTGCTAGGGCCGTATCCTACTAGTGGCTTGGCGCTAGTCAGCACCTGTTCGCTGATGTCACCTTCAGCGTTAGTGGTCATAATTTGGCCAACATACCACTCATAGTGCGTAATTATTATGCGCAAATAAATATACTAAAATTCATTCAGATTTTTTTTGCAAATAAATGGACACGACACCCGCGACACCACATAGGCTGTCTTACGGACTCCCACGTTTTTCAACCAGTGTGAAATTTATACTTGAGCGCACTGAACAGCTTATCTGACTAGCAATTTAAGCGAAGAAATTGTCACATGTATGCCGGCAGTTCACCACAGAATTCTTACTCTAGCACCTTCAAACCAACCGTAAAATAGCAGACGAACAAGTTACAGGTAGGGTAACCAACGGTGAGTGGTAGAACGAGAGCGGGGACACGCGCTGCTATATGGGCAGGTCAGGAGTGCAGTAGGTCGTGTTCCAGCCGCTGTAACCAATGCTGCTAACTCTAGAATAATTTTCCTGGATCTAGAGAATTAGGGATGCACTTAGGGGAAAAGGTAAATTTGTCAACACCTAAGAAAATTTTTCACTTCCACGTGAAACAAGCAGATCGGCGAAGGAACCTATCGCCCACAACCTCTTTTTCGTTCCTCTTTCCACCTTTTCTCTCTTACACCCTTTCTACTCTCACCCAAAAATCCTGTGCGATGCTGGGCAAGGGGCGAAAGGGCTGGTTTGAGCCCCCAACGCTGTGTCAGCGCTCTCTTCTCCCCCACTTTATTCTGTGGCGATGTTCGATGTCGACTTCCTGAACCCCGATTCGAACTAAAGAACAAAAAGTTGTTTCTCCCGAGCACACCAAGTATATGCTTTCATTACCCGAACCTCCCATTTTCTCACCTTTCACCCATGGCGTTATTTCTTTGGTTTGTTGCTGCTTTTGTTATCGGTTTCCCTTCTTTGCGACCCCGCAGGGGCGCCTGCGCAAGTAGGTGTTTGGTGTGTAGCGACACCACGGACCCGAGCTAACGGGGAAGTTTCTACTCCCTTCCACGCCTAGCCGTGCGTGGCTTTGCCGTGTCCGGGGAAAAGGGGATCCTGGGGGTTGAGCCGACGCTGGGTGATTGGACCTTTAAGGCCCCCCGACAGAGGCAACACACCCCTTTGGCCCCGGCTTCACGTAGACGGCACCCCTGGGCTGACCCACCCAGGGGAAATCGGCAGTCGCCTTTTCCTATCCCTCTCTCCCTGCATCTTTGTCTTTATCTCTTACTATTTATCTGTCCTGTCTTCTACTCTCTTCCGTTTACTTCCAAACTTCCTGGCGGCTAGGGTTAACCCTGTGCAAATAGCCTACCTTGGTCTAGGCGCATTGGGCTATAGTGGCGTTGTACGGCTGGCGTCTGCAGTTTTCAGCATCTGTAAACTTGTAGCGTCCCCTCGTTGGGCTCCGTGGGGGGTGGCCGCCAACGCTGCTGAACAAAAATAAGAAAGACATGCATTGAGCATTCCCCTTACTGTCTGATCGTACCGGCTTAAAGCGGGTACGCAACGATGATATAAACTTTTTTAACCAGCCCAAAGAAACATATCCTCACTATCATGTTATCCACTGTGAAAAAACTGAAAAGCAAGCCAGAACCGTCTCTCCTTTCCTGGTTTCTAGATGTCTTACTGAAACTCTTGGCACAGAATACAAGGTAACCAAAATGGCTAGTGGAGACCTTCTCCTCGAAATCCGTGACAAAGAACAATTTGAAAAGCTAGACCGTCTTTCAGATTTCGGTGGCATACCAATAACCATAACACCACATAGATCAATGAACACAACTCGTGGAGTGGTATCTGACATGCACTTACTTGACTTGACTGAGACTGAACTTTTGGAGGGGTGGAAGAGCCAAAATGTCACTAATGTACAGAGAATCATCATTAGAAGAGATAATAAGGAAACACCGACGAAACACTTAATACTCACATTTGCATCCAGTAAACTACCGCAATCTATTCAAACAGGGTACACAAAGACATCTATCAGGCCGTACATACCAAACCATCGTCGTTGCTTCCAATGCCAGAGGTATGGCCATGGCTCTAAAACCTGTCGTGGTCGCCAGACGTGTGCACAATGTGGAGTTCTAGGCCACGTGTCTGAGAACTGCAAACAACCGCCACACTGTGTAAACTGCGAAGGAAACCATGCCGCATATTCACGCTCCTGCACATACTGGAAAAAAGAAAAAGAAATAATTACGTTGAAGGTGAAGGAGAACATTACATTTAAGGAAGCACGGCGAAGAGTCGCTCCATTCTATGGACCTACATACGCTGATGCGGCGTGTCAGGGGGCACCGCCGCACCAGCCCTCGCCACTCCTTCGGCCCGCGCATACCGAGCCGGTGGTTGTGGCACCTGCCCCCAAGACGGCGGTGGCCCAAGCTACACCGCCTACTCCCAAACAGAGACCGGAGACTCCAGAGTCCTCCGGTCTCAAGGCCTCACCTCACCAGGCGAGGCCCGAAATTCGAATTAACAGCCCGCACGTGCGGGCATCCAGTGCCTCCGAGGAGGCAATGGATACGTCGGCACCCTTGGTGCCGAAAGAGTGGCGTGGCTCCCTGGAGCGCGCAAAAAAAAACAAAAAAGCAGATAACAGGGCCTGGTGATGGCCCTGTTAAGTGAACTCAAACTCCCTGTCTAAACAGCCACTCGCTTTTCGTACACACAGCACTATTTCACATTCACCATGAACACTCAAATTATACAATGGAACGTCAGGGGCCTTCTCAGAAACCTTGACGACATCCAAGAACTCTTACATGAACACTCGCCTATAAGTGCTGTGTGTACAAGAAACAGCACCTTAATTTAAAACACACAAGTTTTCTTCGTAAATACGTTATTTTCCGAAAAGACCGTGTTGATGCTATGACATCATCCGGAGGTGTTGCCATAATAGTGGATCAAGGAATAGCATGCACACACTTACAACTCCAAACATCCCTTGAGGCAGTGGCTGTTCGAGCGGTTCTTTTTGACTAAACTGATCACAATCTGCACTATTTACATTCCTCCTAGCTATAAGTTGCAAAAACGCGATTTACACTCTCTAATTGATGAACTTCTGGAGCCTTACGTTCTCCTTGGAGACTTTAA